CAGGTTGAGGTGAGAAGCTAAGCAACCTTGGCCTGTTTGGTCAAGCAAAATGAGCATTCAGTTCCCATAGATGCTGCAAACAAAGTGCAAGAAGTGCTCACTACCCTAGTCCAAAGGGACAGCCTATTGAAATTTCACTGCTGTGCCAGGTCATAGGCACTATGTAAAGCTATGTTCCTTGATCACAGTTCCTGTTACCTTTCGTAACTGCTTAAAAGAGAGATGCATGAAGCAAAGGTGTTCCTTCTCAAACCCAGCTCTGCTGTATTTTGTATTTGATTCCTGCCAAATAAGGTAGTTGTATGTATGTTGCTTCACTTAGTATTGAAGGTTTCTTCTCTGCCTTAATCCCCACATACATACTAATCTTTGCATGATTTGAAAATCTGTGATGCATCTCTTATCGTTAGGTCAGACTGAGATTAACAGACTTGGTATGCTTTTCATTGTTCTAAAGACAAATTTGTGAACAGAATTCAAGCATTTTACATATGAATGCTGAAAAAACGAAATGTTAAAGGAAGTCCAGTTTGAACATAAGAGATATTAAAATGGTGATGCTGAAAAAACCTTACAGGATTTTCTACGTTAGTAATGGAAATATGGCTTAAGTAACCTGGTTGGAAGTTAGTCTGGAAGGTTGCCAGTTAAGAACACAGTTGTTTGTGGCAGCCTGAAAATATTGAGTTAATTTAGGAAATTTGGCTTAAGAAGAAGGCTGCTTAACTCAAAGAACTTATTCTGACTACCTCTCAAAACTTCTGCTATGACATGAAATTTCAGGAATTGTATGTCAGTGTTACAGTTCTTTAGATGTATTTCAGTTTTTGTTGCATCTAAAGTTCACAATAATTTTCTTTTTATGATCTTAGAGTTTGAAAGTTTATTTCTTCCTCTTTTCTCAGTATCTGAGTTTGCTTTGCTATACAAGTTCAAAGAGTGTATAACATGCACAGTAACTACATGGTTATTTACTCAGGGCTTTGCCTTTGCTGAAGTTCTTTCTCTGGGGCTTATGTGCAGAGTTGCATGTGCTTAGTTCAGTGATGTGTGGTTTAGCAAAGCACAGTACAACAATAAACATACTGAAAATTTTATCTTACCCTGCCTCTCCTACAGCACAAAATGATAATAATATTATAGTTACAACACTAATCAAGCTAGTTATTAGATCAGAAATTGCTACTTTGTATTATTTTGGGCAGGGTTCTTCTTTGTTTGCATGTGGCTTTTTTCCTACTTTCTGAATTCCATCTGCTTCACATAGCAGTGATTTTACCATATTTCTAACAAGCGTTTACCTTTCTGCCCCTGATCTCAAAACACTTATCCAGTAATGGTTCATAAAATAACTGTGCTCACTTAATTAGCAAACCTTCTAACTCCTTTTTAACTCTAGGTGAAGGTTCTTACTAAGTCACTGTAGCGTCACGAACAACACTGAGTTTCCAGTGTATCTCCAAGTAATTAGGAAGAAATTGTCTGAGCTTCAAACTACCTTGGAGAAGGCTACAGTGCTCTTTACTTTTGTGGCAACAGCACCCTCCCTGAGCTGCAGCTAACCCGCTCAGGTTTGCTCCAACATTTGGCAGTGGTCTCCTACAGCTAGCTCTGTACTGTGAGGAGCTTCCTGTAGGACTGCAGCTGCCTAGGAAGCATTTACTTGAGCTTCCAGCCGCCTTGGAGGAGCCTGCACCTGAGGCAAGGACCCAGATCACAACCACTGTCAACCAAGGCAATAATCATGCTACAGGTAAATACCAGTTCTGGCCTCTACTTGGGAATTTCAGCCTGTTGGTATCTACCCTTCTTTACATTAGAGAGAGCAGCAATAAGGCCGTGATTTGTTTCATTTTGCTTTGTTCACCAGGATGTCCAAGCAGGTTCAAGCACTTCTTTGAGGGCCCCAGGGACATGTTCACACCCCATGCTTAAAGGATCTCTGCTCAGCTCTTCCTTAGGTAACAAAGTGAGGCCAAACCAAGCAGCTTTTGGAGAGCAAGAGCTATAACCTTGGCTTTTAGTGCCTTCAAAGGCTGTGTGGCTAGAAGTCCCACTTGCCTCTCAGAAAGACTTCCTTGCTTCTCTGCTAAGTAACTGGAGATGAAAAGAAAGAAACAAACCCAAAAGAAACCCTTTGCCACCAACGAAAGGCTAGACAGAAAGTCTTAGAGGAGATGAACATATGATTTGAGTATGGAGACATGACAGTGTATTAGCCACTCTGCCACTCATCTGAACTCTGCTATGGCTCTTGCTACTGCTTCCTTCTTGCAAGGCTCCAGAAGACAAGAAAATTCCAGGGAAATAGAGTAATTTTTGGAGGACAGAGGGAGTCAAGCCCATTCCCTTCCAGAACCAATGCATTTTATGAAGCTGCCGGTGCCCTTTGCAGTAGGTCCTGCCTAGGAGATAAGAGGATAAGAAGGTTCTGCCACCTCCCCTGAGGCCCTAACGGGCTAACATAGCCTTGTGAGAGATTCCTTCAGTTCATCTCTTGGGTTTTCCAGATGAATCTCTGCTTGTGACCTACAGACACAATAGCTCTTGCTTAAGAAACAAAATGCTCTATTGGATCAGGTAGGTCAAGTCTCCATTTACTTCCAAGAGAGTTGTGGAAGGAGCAAAAGCGATGCTCTCTTTGCAGGGACACACAATTAAAGCTGCTTTTCTTCCTTTCTCTCCAAAAGACTATTTGTGGATTTCTCTGCTGGAAAAAGTTCAATCTGCTCAATTTAGTCATCCAGTTTCAATGGAAATACAGGTACAATCTGAACTGTCAGGTGACTAAGAGTACAGAAAGTGGTGGACGTTTGACATGTACAGTTTGACCTGGAACTGCCAAGCACTTGTAGGTAAGAATTCTGTGACAGAACCCACTTGGGAGCCTGCTTCTGGGCAGCATTGACATAGCACCAAAACTGAAGGCACTGCTATAATCCAGAGCACTGGAAGGAACATCCTCCTGTGCATACATGTAAATTCCTGTCAGAACAATTTATTTTGAGTGCTTATTAAAAGCACACAAGTGTCTGGGTGGGGAATACCAGCATTCATTCTTCTCAGAGGTAAAACCCTCTATCTGATGAAGTACAAACTCCCTTCTGGAGGCAGCTTGGTTTTTTTGTGTCTGAAATAATTTTACATTCTTGGCCGTAGACTGCCCTGCAGTGGCAAAGCCAAAATCTGCAGCCTTACTTTTGCACAGTATCTTTTAACTTCCTTATTTAGAAGTAGTCCATCACTAGAAGGGACAGAAAAAAGACCATGCAAACTGCAGAACAAATGAAAAATTGGAGCAATGGAGATTTTAGTCTTCAGCATGAATACAGCAAGCAGTAAAATGTCACTGCTGGTTTGGAATATTCGATCTTGTTTTCATAGGAAACAAGGCAGATTCGATCACACTTTGTATCTGTTTGTCTTCAGAAGCTATTTGCTGACTTCAGCTAAATTTAACTGCAAAAATGAAGATCTCAGAGTTGGTTAAATGTCAACAGATTTTGAGAAAAGTGGTTTTTTCAGACCACTCAAGGAAACTAATGGCTGTAGTGTCAGCACAGAAATTGTTAGGTGACAAAGAATCCACAACGGAGAATGACCTTGTAAATGCCCCGGGAGAAAAGTCTCAGTCACATCTTACAATGAACCTGGAGACAGAAATCCTTAGAATCTCATACTAAAGCAGAAACCAGGCTTCATTAATTCTGGAGCTTGCTTTGTAAACTGATGTAACTTCTTAGATCAGCTACCTCTGAATTTTTCAGCTTCACAGAAATTAGCTCTCTAATCTTAGTATTCTAAAGATGCAAAACTTCAGTAGTTTCATTTTCTGTGCATTCCTACGGGTGTCTGCATTCTAAGTCACATCACATTTGGTAGGACTAGTAGTAGCACAAAATGATGCTACCAATTTAGGTAGCAAAGATGCTTGTATTCAGGTTGGCTGTGGCTCAACATTACTTAAAGCTTAATGTCACTTTAAATTCTTAGAAGCGTAAAGCACAATTCGTGTTCATTAATGGAGACAAAATAATACCAAAAGCATTTTCACACTCAACAGAAGGTGTGGATTACCCTTATTGTACCTCAGAGGATTCAAGAGATGTCCATATCTCAGCTGATCTCCTTCAGCTCCCTTACAGTAAGATCAGATAAGCAGGCACTTCAGAATGTAATTCAGCTGACCTCTTTCAGATATGTCCTTTGTTGTGAGACAAATGAATACCAGAAATTACTATTCCTCTCCATTTTCTGTAAAGGAAGCCTATGAATACTAGCTCAGAGATGGGCATTCCAATGTTTTACAAGCATTTGGAATTTGAAGAGCTCTTACTATAGTACTATCTATACATCCATCAAGCACTGTGAAAGAACTTTGTATTCTGAAGCTGAGGGACCATTTCTTAGTGAAAATATGTAACTGTGATGAACTGCAACAGTTCTTACATACTCAGCCCTGCTAAGATAAGATCTGCTGCTGAACTAGTTTTCCGAGTTTTCTCCAAGTCATTTGAATCACTTCATGATCATTCTTCATCTTTGGTTTTGTTCTGGCAGCATCAACTTCTGCCCCCCCTTACACATTGGGTCCTCCAGACAGTACCTTCTGATACTTCAGTTTTTAAAAAGCCAGAAAGAAATACCCTAAAAGTTTAAGAAATATGTCAATTAACTTTCTACAACTGAAGAACTTTTCTTCTCTTTTAAAACTCAGGCTCATCAAGACAGCATGTGAGTAAGTACAAAATCTGTGTTTTTTGAAATGTGCTTTTAATCATTCAGAAGAAATAAGGTGATTATATAAAGACCCAAAAGGCTGTGCACTTGGAAGAATACAAATATGTGTTCTTATTTAGTGCACAAATAAATAGAGCACTGTTAAAAATAATCAGAGAACAAACAGGATACAGTAACTGGGAAAAGTAAAGTTCAAAAGTTCCTCAAAAGGAAGATGAGAATGGTGCATTTTAGTTGAATGCTGCTAGGTTTTTTCCCATTCATTTTGAAGTTAAGCTGATGGCCCTCTTGATACGATCTAGAGTGCTTCCCTCGTCATTTTCTTCTGTGTCCTGCAGTTCACTGGACTGTGACCTGCTGCATTCAGTGTCTTGACAGCTGCAGCCTTCCACATATACATACTTATGTGAAATTGAATGCCCAGTGGGACAGTTCAGTTTCACTTCCTTCATAGTAGTCCTTGATTCCCTGCAGCAGGAACAGCTGTGGTCCAGAGAATTGGCCTCAGCAGAGTATCTGTTAACATGAAAATGGCAACATTACTCTGTGTCAGAAGCCAGCATACAAAGAGGGTGAAATTAAATACAGAACTACTGTGAGAAGTTTGGAACAATATGTAGAAGAGCCGCATTTGTGGCTAATGAAAGTGCTAAACTCATCTGGCAGAGCAATTTTTATAACAATATGCTTTTAAAATTCATTGCATTTTATGAGATATATTTTTTTTTTTCTTCTGGAAAAACAATTAGCATTGAAGTCCTAATTAAAAAACCCAGTAAGTTCTAGGAGCTCAGCTTCCTTAGATTCCTGTCCTCATCCCAGTGTTGATGGATATTAGATTCACCAGATCAACAATTAAAGGCAGACGAAGCCCTGACCTGAGTAAGAAAACTGCATAGACAAGTGGCTACAATGCCATCTACAATGGTATCACATCAATCAATTGGCTACAAGGGCTACAACTGCATCATGTGAAACAAAGTGCATATCCCATACCCATCAGTGTTAACAAGAAGAGGAAGCAGCAGCTCTTTCTGTTTCTATCTTACAGTAAAGTATTTTTTTGAAGCCTTGTGTTCATCAGCTTCCCAAGCACTGTTCCTAACCAGCAGAATCTGCCAATATCAGTCTACAAACTGTGTCAAGAATCATCTTTTTCTTGTATTGGTGCAAAGGCAACCAGAGCAAGACTCTAAGATGATAAGGTATTTCAAAATACTGGCAAACCACCTAGCTAATCAGGGTTAACTCTGAGACTAAAGATCAGTTTTCTCCCCTGTAAGGTGCCCTGTTGCATATTCAGTGACAGGCAGCAAATGACAGTTTCTCTGGGGAGCTGAGAGTTGCAAGTCCCCTACCATTCTGTAGTCTACCTTTTTATTGTTCTTTGTATACAAACAAGCTCAGTGCCAACAGAGTTCAAATCTCATTGTCTGATCAGTTTACTTACAGTGAGGAAGTTCCACATGTTCCTTCACATTCAGTCATGACAACTCTGTCCACAGAACGACAGCCCTTATAGAAGATAAAGTCTTCTCTTTGACGGACAGAACACGGTGTAGGGCTATCCAGGGGTACACCTACAGGGAAAGATTAGAAAATACTTTCAGTGAAAGAGCTCCAGAAGTTCCTTGCAGTTCAACAATCACTGGACTTCACTAGTGCACTCAAATTGTCTTTAGTGGTCTTTCTGCTTCAGTTTATACTTTCTCAGAGACATGGACAGGGAATGCTTGGAATAACAAACACAAATATAATCTATTTGAATACAAACATATCAGCCTTTATGGTTGGGAAATGAATTGATATAAAAAGAAAATTCATTCTCTGTATTGTTGATTCAGGTACACTGGAATACTCACAGGTTTTGCAACAACCATTAGGTAAGAATGCAATAGTTCCCTAAAAGACAAAGAAACAGGAAAAATAATATTATTTTCTTTCCCTCTATTAAAGCCGCTTTTAGGCCAATACTGAGTAGAGCAATTCCTCAATGGCTAGAAATAACCAGCAAAAACTGAAGAATTGTTCTAATAAACAAAGATAATGATCTCTTACAGACTTGAAATCTATCAGTTTACCAAGGATTGTGAAAATTAAGATAATGCTTTGAAGGAAGTCCACAGTTAACATCATGCAATTTTTCCTCAGAAACAATTCCAGAAAAATGTTTTCCAGGGCCCCACACGAAACAGTCAGCAAGGACTTTGTATCTAAAGTGCTGAACAGTATTTTGGCTGCTGAGAGACTGCTGCCAGTTACAAGCCATGAACTCTCACCCAGATATCTTACTTTATACACTGTATAGGTCTGTGCATGGATGGAGCAGAAACTTTTGCCTTTGGGACTGACAAATTTTGGTGAAAGGTCGTCAGAGCTTAATTTGACTTTTGTTGATAGTTAAGTGGCTGAAGCAAACTGAAGTAATCTATACATTGAGTAGAGACCAGGTTTTCCATATTTACTTACGGGTTTGCAGCTGTCCTCATTGAATGCTGGGCAGGTTATCTCAGATTTGGAAGAGAGAAGATGGTTCTGGATATTTACACAGCTATAAATGGTGCAGTTGTTGTTAGGATCATTTTTAAACTCTCCAGGCTGCAAGTGAAATACAAGATGTAATAACGAAAGCTGAAGGAAGCTCAGTCAGAAATTTTCCTGCCCTCTGACAATGACTCTCCTCATTTTTTCCCAGTCAATTATTTTAGCTTAACAGCCACTTAACAGCATTTTTTATTATTTTAGGTTAACAGCTTATTAAATGTATTGCTGTGTGCCATACATGGAAAGAATTGACAGTTTTACATGTGATTTCCCTTGGAAAAGAAAAATTCCTCTGAAGTATGTAGAGTACATTAGAGTTATTAACAAAATAATCTATGCCAATGGATTTTGCCCAGGGAAAGCTAAACTAAATATGGTAATTAAGAACAATTCTAAACTTTCACCCTATGGGGCAATAAAATTCTTTCATATTCAGGCTTTATTAGTGTTTTTCAACACACAGAAATTAAATAATATAGAAAAGCCCAAGCTTCCAGACACTGCAAGAAAAATCCTTCCAATGGTATTGGATTTGTTATTCCAAGAAAAGCCTTCCAGAAAATTTTATTATAGAAGTCTTTTTTTCAGGCCAAAAAAATGCAGATAGGCTTTGCTTTAGGTGAACCTATGACCTTTTAGATGCAAACTTATACTAAGCCTTATCTCTGAAAAGGAGATGTTCCCTCTCTGAAACAGGGAACTTTACAAATTTGGTAGAGAAGATGTAGAGTATACTTACACTCAAGATGAGGTCAGAATTGTTTGCTGTTTGCATAATACACTTAGTCTGCACACATCTTCCACAACATTCACCTTCCACTGGTTGGCGTTCATATCCCTAGATATTAAAATTAATTAAAAATGAAAGTACCATGATAGACATATTTCAGAGAAATAAATGAAAGCCTACTAACCCATTAATTGATTATACTTTAAAGTGCACTATAGATTTGTGCCTTTGTGTGTCTTTCAGTGTTCCAACCGAATGGAAGACAAGTAATAACAGCAGGCTATAGGTGGAATAAATTAAAGCACTATAATAAATATGCCTAATAATTAAATATCACTCCACTAAGTGCTCTACACAAATTTCCCAGCTAATTCAATATGATCTGAATATTGTAAGTTACACAGTCAAGCTTCATGTAATAGATTGCTCAAGAACTGCTGGTATCCATGCTGGAGTTGGACTCTGGATTTCTGCTCCTTGTCCTTTGCTTATACCTCTCATGGATCATACTCCTCTTCATATACATGGGTATTTTGGTTTTTTGTTTGTTTGGTTTAAGTTTGTCACTTACCGGTTCACAATATGTGTTGCATGGAATTTGTTCACATGAGATGATATTCAGTTGAGTGCTGATGTTAACTTCGTCAGTGCAAAAACAATTCTGACACTTATCAACAAAGACTGAGGAATTAGGCTATAAATTTTAAGAAAAAAAATCATATATTAATCAGATATGATGTGTGACAGACATTTCTTAATTTCTAAAAAATCTGTAAACCAAGCAATGGAAAAAAAACAATCATAACAACTACTGGATAGATATTTGGTTGGCCATTTATGAAGATAACATTTTAAATACTGGATTTAATTTAACATGTGTCTTTACTGAAGTCCTATATAGCAATTATAAACTCAGATATTTAAGGGACAGGTGTCATATGAATATCTGTAATAAATTACTAGACCAAACATTATTTATTAGGAATCTAAGTTTGTTTAGAATAATACTTATTTACAAATATTTTCATTTTTGAAAGAAGAGTCTTAAAATTGCAACAATGTGCTGACATCGTATGTCTACTGACTTTTTAAAATGCATGTACGTTTAAACGCAAATCTCTTGCTGCTACTGACATACAAATGGCTTTTCAGTTTCTTTTATACACAGCAACCTTTTCAGAAAAGATTTAGGCTTTGTAGAATTGATGGACTCCTGATAGAAATTCCAAAATTGCTAAAATATTGGCTGTACTAAACCTCCTCATAATACTTCTTATGAAGTATATTAACTGGTCTTTAAAGCATTTTCAGAAGACTGTTGAAATAGGAACTTACCAAGAATTCAGCATTCTGATGTACACAAACCCTCTTGGGAACTGTTAACAAGCAAGGAATTAGATGGTTACACAGGGGAGAAAAACCCCAAACCTCTTACCCCACTCTAGTTAAACTCATTTCTTCCACAATGAATTACAATGCATATGGTCAAATACATTGTTTGTCCATTTCTGGTAGCAGATATGACATATAAATATAAGAACTAATACTGCAGGTGTGAAAGGAAGATTTAGCCCAATATATGCAGTCCAATTAATAGCCAAGAATGCACATTTAACAGGTAAATGTGCATTTCACAAGTAAATCCTTGTTTCAGTTACCAAGAACAAAGCAGACTTTATTAAGCTATCTTCTACTGGGGATGCCTGGCAGGACATTCTGCTAGATTAAGATGACACCACAATTAACCCAGTTAATTCTGTAGTTGTTCTTACATGTACTTACAACAAGGAAACTTGAATTCAAGTCACTTGAGCTGTATTTGATTTTGTAGTTTTTCAGCATAACCATAGCAGTAGTAACCAGTGTTAACAGTAACCAATTTGTAGAATCTGACTGTTTGTTACCTCTTTCAATAGGCTATTGTATACAGTCTAAGTGTGATACTAAATTACACAATATATACTGCTAATCATTGTAATATATTTCCAAGAGACTTACCACACTGGTACAGAGGACAGCATTGACCCCTGGGAATGTGAGAATGAACTTCAAATCCCAGTGAACACCTGGGGGCGTTTGTTGTGCACAAGCTTGTATCGCATTCTGAAAAAAAAGGAATAAACCAGGAAGTACACTAAATCACAGCTACAAGAAATATGCATCTCTTAAAGTGTTTAGGATAGACTTTCCATTGTTAGGCAACAGCCCAGATCCTCTCCAAAGAAGCAAATTTCAGAAAGAGAACACATTTTCCTTAGTGAATCCAGGCACTAGTTTATAAAAATTTTTCTACTATGTAAGTACCAAGCACTAAAAAGGTACACACAATTCTTTCCACAGAAGTAGCAGACAACTGTTAGTATCTTCAAGGCTTTAGGTAATTGCTGCAAAATGAAAACCCACATAGAATTCAGTAATCTATCTGCATTTCACCTCCATAAAATGTGGTCCAGAACTCGAGAACTATAGATTTAGCTGAGTCCCATAATTTTAAATTCAGTTATCCTGAGTCATTGCAATATTAAAATGCATTTTCCCTAACACTGGGCAAGTTGATTTAAAAAAGTATGAGGAAAGATACTATTTTGTGACTCCCTGCTGCAAGTCTCTGGTGCTAAACTAGTCCAGTTATCTTTTCCTTTCTCACCCTAAAAGGTATAGAAAGACTGAAAACAAAAGTAAAAACTCACTGCATGTGACAATGGGGCAGCAGGAGTCTTCAGGATTGACTTCACTGACTTCACGGAGGCCTTCTCCATCACAAGTGGTCTTATTTTGTTTGTCACATTCATGAGGCTTACATACAATCCCATTTCCACCTTCCAGGCAAATACAGTCCTGACAGTCTACTGTAAACTTTTCCCCAAACTGTCATTAAAGAAAATAAAGTGAGTGATTGCATGGTTACCAATTAAAAAGAACAGAAGTAAAAACAGGAATGAGAAGTTGGGAGATCACAAAACAAGACTGCACAAGCGTAGACCACTTTCCTCTCCCCACGCTCAGCCTCTACTTGAAATACAAAAGCATATGGCAGCATACCTCTCTTGGTATCTTATCCACTCCAACACAGCCTGTGAAAATACCAAAATAAATTTCAATTACCACTGATAAAACAGTATATATCTCTACTATATGTTGTATGAGTACTGCATACAGTCAGAGCTATGTTGTATACATGAAAAGGAAACAACAAAGAGGAAACAAACATGCATCCAAGTGAAGTAGTAAAACTCACCACATGTTTTTACACAGACATCCACACCAGAGTCATACAGCATTGTTCCATTAGGACAGAAACAGCCTTCCACTTGTTTTGTAGAAGTTTCATTTTGCTGGCTATACGAGACAAAATGTTCAGAGGAACACGATTACTATCATAGACATGCAGAGGAGGATTGATTATGCCATATAACCCTTCACTGAAGATACAGTGGCAAAGAATCTGCATATTTGCAATTTAGGTACTGTCAGTGTTCATGTTTGGTATAGCCAAACAATATAAGCAGTACAGGCACTCTGATTTAGGATCAAGAGAACAGTGGTACCAAATTTGATGGTCAGTTTAAGACATGATAGGAGGTTGATTTCTTTTATCCGCCTACGCATTAAATATGTCTGAACAGCTATTTGTATGAATTATAACTAACAGTGAAGAAATTATTTACCTTGATTTGCAGGTTATCTCTTTAATAGGACCACATGCTCTGTATTCTTTATCTGAGGGGCATGTATAAGCTGGAATGGGAGAATAAAAAGGAGGAAGAACTCAGTGACAATATCATATAAAAGTCCCATGACTTTATGCTAAGAACTTCAACACTGAATACTCACTTTCATACATGTCTTTGACAATCTTGAGAAACAAAGAGAAAAACTACCAGAACTAGATATCAGACTCATGACTCTGAATGGAATTATTTTATGTAATGTAGCCATACAGATATAGAACCATAGAATGGTTAGGGCTGGAAAGGACCTTAAGATCATCTAGTTTTAAACCCCCACCATGGGCAGGGATGACTCATACTGTAATTTACATTAAGGAGATAAAACCTTTTTTTTTTTTTTTTGTCATAATTTTAGTCTCTTTTGCACAAGTTCTCGAAGGGGAGTGTGTTCATACCCTGTGTCCTCATCTTACTACAGCTGAAAATGAATGCATATGTAACTAAATACAGAATGATCTGCTGATGCCTGCAAAACACAAAACTGCCCGTGCACAAAGAGATATCTACTGATACAGATGTTTCTGGCACAGCCAATAGATGTATACTTTTGCAGGCTCATTTATCATTTCCATTGATAAAACTGTAATCTGTAAAATTAAAAAGCAGCTGTTGTGATTCACTGGTGTCTTCCTTGCTTGGAATACACTATGACTTACTGTTAGGACATTATTGCCAAAACATATAAGCTTCTGTAATAGTCCAGATAAATGGCCAAATACTTACAGCAAACACCATTGGTATGACTTCTCCAGTCAATGCATACACTTTGATCAGCACAGGTGGCAGCATAGATCTGCAGACTTGAGCATTCCAGGTCTAAGTTGGGAAGTACACAACTATCAAAAACACAGGCTGAATAGTACTTTTCAGGCCAGACATGGCCATGGCATGGCTCGAACACACTAGAAACATAAACATTTATCATTATTAGTTACTGTATAGTTACTGAATTCTTCAAGATGCTTAACATGTTATGATGTGGCATATGTGGTACTTAAGTAGGTAAGAACAAGAACTGTATTAAAGATTTTTACTAGAGCACTTACCTAGATTTTAACCTTGCAACATATCTTAACGTATCCTCCCCTCACCTACAAAACACTCAGGCACCAATATTTTCTATCCATGAATATTATCAAACAGAACCATTGTCCTGGGTTCAGCTGTAACAGTTATTTTTCTCCTTCGTAGTAGCTGGTGCAGTGCTGTGTTTTCAACTTTAGTCTGAGAACAACCTGATAACACACTAATGTTTTTAGTCATTGCTAAGTAATGCTTATCCTGATCAAGGACTGTTCAGTCTCATGCTCTGCCAGTGAGGAGGAGCACAAGAAGCCAGAAGGAAGTAGAGACAGAACACCTGACCCAAAGTAGCCAAAAGGGTATTCCATACCACAGCACATCACGCCCAGTATATAAACTGGGGGGAGTTACCCAGAAAGCCCAGATCACTGGTCGGGTCAGGCTGGGTATTGGTTGGCAGGTGGTGAGTAATTACATTGTGCATCACTTGTATTTATTGTTTTTTTCCTTTCCCCTTTTAGTTTTATATTCTCTCCCCTTCTTATTTCTCTTATCACTATTATTATTGGTGGTAGTAGTAGTGGGCTTGTATTATGCCTTAGTTACTGGACTGTTCTTATCTCAACCCATGTGATTTACATTCTTTTGATTCTCCTTCCCATCCCTCCAGGAGCGGAGGGGAAAGAAGCGGGTAACTGAGTGAGCAGCTGTGTGGTTTTGAGTTACCAGCTGGGCTTAAACCACAAGAACCATGAACTACTTTTCTAAAGAGATTTTGTTTGGTTAGTTGTTTTTTTTTTTTTTAATTCCTGACACAACATTCTAAAAATTAAGATATCTCTTTTCAGTTGTACTCTGTTTTCTGCTAAATAAGCATGGGAAAAGGCAAGAGCATAGAACAGTGGAGGTCAGAGAGTGTAGAAGAATGTGAGAACATCAAGAAAGGTTAATGTAGAAGCCAGAGGGCTGGAAGCAAACTATCAGCAAAGAATGACATCTAGGAACAGTAAAAGGAATGGAAGCAACACACAAAGCTACGAGAAATGGAATAATAGTTAGAAAGACTTCTTATTGATAAACGAATCTTAAAATTGCCACTTAATTTGAAGATTGAAGGCTTATAAACCCAAAAGGAATGTCTACCTTCCCCAAAGAAGCTCGCAAATGGAAGATTCTGTGCAAGGCTGTGTTGGAGTTGTGCTAGGTGCTTTTGTAGGAATTAGGCCTGGAGTGCATTGTGGTTTGGAGGGATCAACAACTTGCCAATGATCTGCCATAATTTCACAATTTTCTGCAATGTTTCCATTTGGCAACATGCAGTCATCTGCCGGGTTGTTATTGCAAGTACCTAAAATTGGTAAAGGGAGAAAGAATTTGTGCACAGATTTGTTACCAAATTCCATTCAACTTTGTGGCAAGGCTGTCATTTCCCTGTTCATGGTTTTCTGAGTACAAAAAACTACAAGAGTAAGCCTTACCACACTGTCCATAAGTGTTGTTGCCAAACAGGCTGTAGGGCATCCTAATAGAAAAGGACAAGCCATTGTAGGTCACATTCATTTTTAGTTCAGGAATTTCCACTACACGATTTATGCCTGACTCATAGATGCTGACACCAAATTTTTTATAAGGCAAAGCCACTGCCTGTTTGTTTACTGTCACCTAATAAATAAAACAGAAAAGAGACATATATTTATTTTTACTTTAGAAAACAATTGACTATTCATTATTTTGCATTGGAGATAGAAAGTAAAAGCAAATAAGGTGCTTTTAGTTTGTAGCAACTGTCCCTGTCTTTCCTTTTATGTTACTGGAAAGTCAAACTTCTCTTCTCTGAGCCAAAAAAAAAGGCCTGTCAGCCACTGATAAACTAGTCTAAAATTCAGAGTTTAAACCAGCTAAACTCTAACAACAGATTTATTAGAGTGACTGTGACATTAAGGACACCCTATGAAATTGCAATATAAAATCCTCCTAAATTTCTAGTGCACACAGTTTTAACTTTCTAGGCAAAAAGAGAACATGGTTGTAGGAAAAGTAAATGAAAGAAATAAGCCAAAATCTGTATTATTTATTTAAATACAGTAGTCATATACCTATGGAACTAACACTACTGCTTTTACTCAGCAACGGTAGTTTTCTTCGCTTTACAGAAAAAAAATGGTCTAAATGTTGCAAATTTTCAACAATATGCTGCAACTTGTAATATTCTCACACAGTAATGTATAAAAATAAACAAACCAAACCCCACAGAACCCCAAAACCAAACCAATTCTTACCCAATTTTGAAGGCTCAAAACTAGGACATCATGTTTACCAATTAAATAAACACATAAAAGCCCCTATTCTGTAAAATGAAAACACTGATGCCGATCTAAGCTAGTAATGGCACTTTAAAAATATGCTTAAGTCCAATACTTTAATGTTATGTCTAATTTATGTTGTAACCTCCCATTCAACATTTGTTATTTTCCTTTGTGGAAAAGTCCAAGCTAGTATTAATTCTGAAACATAGATGTAATTTTAATTTTTTTACCTGACATTGTGTATATAATGATCGAGTAGATGTTGTATTATTATTTTAATCAAGAAATCAAATGTAACATTTTCCAATACCTCTACTTGTAGAGTATTTTGTTTGACTGTTGCTATGCGCACTTCTTGAGTCTCATGTCTCACAATCAGCATTCGAGGACAGGAGACTACATCCCGTGCATCACAATGGTAGTTATCAATGTAGACACCAAAGTTGTCAACTTTCTTATCAATCTCTTCCACAAGGATGTATGTACAATTCCCTTGATAGCTGTAGTAGAGTCCATCAAAAGTCATGTAATGTGGGTCTCCCCAGCCAGTGCAGTAACCTACAGAAACATACAGCTAGGGTTAGCTCCTTACGGCAAGATACAGAATCAGGCCAGACTACAAACAAAATCCGTAGGTGTGGGATTCATTTCATGTAACTTTAAGAATTTTTAAAGTGTGTATGTCAATGCATGAGATCATTATCTAGAACACATAAATAACGGAGAAAAATGGGCACTTTCAGGGCACAGTTCATCTGACATTTCTGACAACAGAGAATAGGATTAACTGCATCCTAGATATACCTTTACAGGTAGCCCAACCAAGCTCATCTAGTTCCAATCCTCCTGCCACAGGCAGGGACACCTTCCACTATATAAGGTTGCTCCAAGCCCCATTTAACCTGGCCTTGAGCACTTCCAGGGATGGGGCAGCCACAGCTTCTCTGGGCAACCCGTTCCAGTGCCTCACCATCCTCACAGTGAAGAATTTCTTCCTAATATCTAATCTGAATCTACCTTCTTTCAGTTTAAAGCCATTCCCCTTTTTCCTATCACTACCTGCTTTTAAAAAAATCCCTCTCCAGCTTTCTTGTAGGCATCTTTTGATGCAGCCCAGGATAAGGATGGCTTTCTGGGCTGCAAGCACACATTGCCTTATTATGCTGAGCCTCTCATCAAACAACACTGCCAAGTATATATGGGCTTCTAGCCTTTAAATAGATGTCTGCATTTGGATATTTACATCCTGCCTTGGGAGACCAATTATTTCTCCTAACACAATAATTACGTAGAAATTACAGCATATAAGTAAAAGCCCCCAGTAATTAAAAAAAAAACACATTGAAGCACTGCAAATAGTCCAACACTAGAAGTCTGAGGGCCACAGCCTTCTGTGATACTTATCCCCTAAGAAATAAATACTGTTGCTCTTGACACTAGCATTATTCCCACAGATGATGACAAAATATTCAACAAAATATATACTTACAATCACATTCCCAGTGCCAACAGCATCCATCCTCATCAATGACTTGCACAGGAGAAAGCCCATTGGCACATGTAGGTTTAGGAGGTGGATTACAGATTATGGGAACCACCTGGATTATATCATCTTCTATGCATATTGCCTTAGTGCAGTTGCAGAGCCACCATGACTCACCTGGCTGTGTTTGGAAAGAGAGCATTTGATGGAAAAGAGAGAGAAACCTTATGCTGGATTACCAACAGTTATGCCTGAAAATCTTTTTCAGTGTTTTAAAACACCATATTTTTCTTGAAAATTTTTTTCCCACCAGAAGCCTGAAAATAGGAAGTACAGCAGGCAGCACCAAGGCCTGCAGGATGAACTAGCACTACGGAGAGCTGCTAAATGAAAAGCATTACTTATAAAAATCAAGGCAGTACCCTGAAGTGGGAATTGCTTTTTTTTAGTTTCAGGTATTTAAGAGTTGAATGTCTCATATAATTTCATCATCTAGACTCCCTTTCTAATCCAGTATCAGTGAAATATACTGATCCAGGTCAATGATCAATATCTAATCAATCCCCTTCCATGAATCCCTAGAACAGGTTAACAGCTAAAGCCACAGTGAACACCAGCTATTTGGGAAGTAAAGCCTAAGGTCATTACATGCATGCATTGTGATTGTATGCATTTTGTCTATCTTCTACCAGTTTTTCAGCCATATATAATATTTATCCCTGCAGATCTACTAAGCAAATTGATAGACATCTAAGCTGTGAGGAGGCTTTAAAAATGTACAAGACATTAGCTTGTCTGTGTCAGAAATGGAGTGTTCCAAAAACCTCAGAACTCTGAGTCAAATTTCACTTGCATTTGAATGTGGTGATCTGTTTCACAGTACTATCCTGAAACCAGACTATGACCAAGTATGACTCACTCTAAACTCAGACTACTTCAGCCCTGTGGTTTCTTGTTGGGCTGCACTGTAAACACACAAACAACTTTTCCCCACTCTAGACCTATTCAAAAGCAGAAATAAAAAAGATGGTTTGGCATCTTTGCTCTTGTTTACCTCTCCATCAAAGCTACCCTAAAATAAATAGGAACACAGAGCTGTGATCTAACTCCCTGAAAAAGCCTTTTTAAAACTATACTTGAAGAACTAATAGCAGTATATAAGCTATCAAACTGAGTGCCATTGGAAATCATGCTGATACGCAAAATACCATAAATAAATAGAATGGACTAAAACATTGAAATTATGTGGTTAGTCTCCACCCACAGCAGAAATCTACTCACCGCATAAGATTCATTAGGTGAAATAGAACAATTTTTTCCAGGAGTGGTTGGTGGTAGACTTGAAGCACTGAATTTAGTAACTGTACTGTATGTAGAACTTCCTGGAAGAGTGACTGCACTTGAGGTTGCAATTGGACCAGAAGTACTACTAGTTGAGCCAGAGGAAGGAATTCCAGAGGTGATGGTGCTTGCAGTGATCATAGTAAAATTACTAGAGGTAGTTCCTGAAGTTGTGGTAAAAGATTCTGTTGGAGTTGTACCAGAAGTGGTGACTGACACGGGACTTGATACGGATGACTGAGGTACAGTAGTGCTGGCTGTAGGCTCTAAAGAAGATAGTCCAAAAGTTGTTGATGTGTTGATGGCAGTAGTTCTTACTGGAGTACTGTAAGTTGCACTGTTGGAAATTGGGCTAGTAGTTTCTGTTACTGTTGGGGTGCTGTAGGGAGGTGGTAGTGAGGGTGTGGGGCCCGAAGTGGTGGTTTTGGTGGTCGATCCTGTTTCAGTGATTTCTGAGGTGATGGCTGTCACTGGGCTTGTTGATACCGATGGTGGTGAGACAGTAGTGCTGGCTGTAGGTTCTGACATTGATATTCCTGAAGTTGTGGTGGTGGTGACAGTAGATCCGACTGCAGTAGTAATAGTTGCAGTAGTTGTCATTGGGCTAGATATTACTGCTGTAACTGTGGTGCTGTGGGGAGGGGGTCCTGAGGGTGTGGGGCCCGATGTGGCAGTATTGGTGGTCGATCCTGTTTCACTAACTCCAGACATGGAGGCTGTAACTGCGGTTGTTGATATTGGCGGTGGTGATATAGTAGTGCTGGCTGTAGACTCCAGTGTGGGTGATCCTGAAGTTGTGGTGGTGGTAACAGTTGATATTCCTGAGGTACTCCTAGTTGCAGTTGTTGTCATAGGACTAGATGTCTCTGCTACCACTGTGGTACTGTGGGGAGGAGATCCTGAGGATGTGAGGCTGGATATAGTGGGTCGGCTGGTCGATGATATTTCAGTGACTCCAGACATGGTGGCTGTCGCTGGGCTTGTTGATATTGGTGGTAATGATATCGTAGTACTGACTGTAGACTCTGATGTTAATGATCCTGAAGTTCTGGAGGTAATGACAGTTACTCCTGTTAGAGTAGTGCTAGTTGCAGTTGTTGTCACTGGGCTAGATGTCCCAGTTACAATTGTGGTGCTGTAGTGAGGGGGTCCGGAGGGTGTGGGGCTTGATGTGCTGGTTTTGGTGGTCGATCCTGTTTCAGTGACTCCAGAAGTGGTGGCTGTCCCTGGGCTTGTAGATACCGGAGGTGCTGATACAGTAGTGCTGGTTGTAGGCTCTGGCGTGGCTGACCCTGAAGCTGTGGTGCTTATGGTGCTTGTAGATGGTGCTGTTGTAGGGCTCCCAGTGCCGGTGGAG